TAATATGACTGCTATTTCAAGTTCATTTTGCTGAAGACAAGTCAAAGCAGCATGTTAAAGATGTGTATCTTACACTTGGAGAATAAGCAGATTAAGCATTTATTGATTTTTGGACAAGAGGTTATTTGATTCACAACGTTGATCAAGTCTCCGTGACGAGCTCCCTGCTGAGGTTTGTAAAGTTTCAGTGTGTCTGAAGAGATGAGATGTGATGCTTTCTTCTTGCTTTAGAGCTGTAAGTTTTCTCTTCAGTTTTTGCTCCAAGCTACTGAGAATTCTACCAGTAAAAACAAGGCCAAGGGTTTTGGTTCCTTGCTTTTCTCTTCTCTGAGAAGCCACCATACAGAGAGGAGAACAGATTTTAGATCTGTGCTATAACGTGCATTGCTAAGAAATTTGCAGAATTTGTTTCCTGCCAAAGTATTTTGCACTCCTGCAAAGTAACCAAGTTGCACATAACTGCTGTTGTATTATTTCCTGCCTGGATGAGATGGAGTTGCTCAGCTGGAGATGGAAGAATACCTCACTCTCGGAGCCTTCTGGGTATGACCTCAACATTACTGTGGAACGCAGGAGTACTGCTAAGTGAGCTGAGTGCAGTGATTTTGGGTGTGTGTCTTCAGCCAAGGAGACTGCGTGGTCTGTATAGTGGCTGTAAAATCCCAGCCAGCGCCATTTTGGTGTTGCTCTTCCTTGAGCTCAGTTTTGACTATCTATATCATCTCTAAGCTGACATCTTCCAAGACTGGACACCCTTATGATAGCAGTATAGCTGTGAGTGCTGAAGTTGTTACTGGGTAGATCTCTTCAGGAGGGATTACTCTTGGATCTCTGCCAGAATCTTGCTTCACCCAGTGGGACAGTAGTGTCTCACAGCTGACAGGAGAAAAGTCGTGGTAGAAGAGAAGGAGTCCGAAGAAGGTGTTCACTTGTAGAGCTATGGTTCTGATGTTTTGCTAGAGATTTCTAAATATATTTCCTTTAAATGCCACTGCTCCAAGTATGTATTACCATTGTTGGTGATAAGCGTGGGTAGGGCAAGTTCATGTGCCACTGTCTAGTTCCTGGAAGGTAAGATGGTCAGCCTCCCAGAACGTCTTGAGCAGAGCTGTTCCCAAGCAGTTTTTCTGAGGAGCCAGTGGTACTGGACATGTGTAAGGCAGAGGTGGTAGTGGGGATTCTGGGAAGGGCAGAAAGAAGGGAAAAAATGGAGCAGCAACTCATAAGGGAACAAACAGGAGGTGGGCTTGCTGGCAGCAGCTTCAGAAAGGTGGTTGTGGAGGCTTGAATGTTTCTGGGTTGGTGCAGTGCTGTACAAAGGAGGGCGTGTTTGGCTGTTCAAGCAGTGTTTGTGGCCTAAGGCCTTTTTCACAGCTTTTTTAGTCTGCTTTCCAGAACATCATTGGCAGATCTGGCTGCACTCTGCAGGTTGGGTCTAGAGTTACTGGTTATGGCAATCATAATGGCTGACATCTGGTTGCAGGTTAGGCCAGCGTTTGTCATGTCTGAGGGTGCCCTTGGCCTGGTAGAGCCCTCAGAGAGGGGGAGCTGGTGCCAGCTGCAGCTCAGGGCAGGGCAGTCAGCGAGGCAAAAAGGGTAAGGGACTGCCTTCTTGAGTAAGAAGGCAGAAGAAAAAGCAGAAATTTGGAGAGAAGGCAATATCACAAACTTGGTTGGATTTTAAGGAATGGAAAGAGAGGATTCTCCCCAGGAATGACCTGGTGGGGTGTAACCCGGCAGGCAACTGAACACCACCCAGCCACTTGCTCACTCCCCACCTCACTTGGTGGGATGGGGGAGATAATTGGGAAAAAGTGAAACCCATGGGTTGAGATAAAGACAGTTTAATAAAACAGTAGAAGATAATAACAACAATAATAATAGTAATAGACTATACAAAATGAGTTATGCAAAATGCAGTTGCTCACCACCCACTGACCAATGCCCAGCCCGTCCCGAGCAGCGATCACTTGTTCCCCCTGGTCAGCTTCCCCCAAGCGTGCTGTCATGTGGTCTGGAATAGCCCTTTGGCCAGTTGGGGTCGGCTGTCTTGGCTGTGCCCTCTCCCAGATTCTCGTGCCCCTGGCAGAGTATGGGAAGCTGAAAAAATCCTTGACTAGCGTAAGCACCGCTTAGCAACAGCTAAAACATCAGTGAGTTATCAACATTCTTCTCATACTAAATCCAAACCACAGCACTATACCAGCTGCTAGGAAGAAAATTAACACTGTCCCAGCCAAAACCAGGATGTGACCCTACAGAGTTTTCTGCAACCCAGAAAATCAGAGTTGCTGGAATAAGAGCAATTCTGAAGAAGTGAAACATTTTCAAGGACACGTGAACAGAGAAAATTCGGTTTAAAAAACCTTTTTTTTTAAAATTTTTTTCCATTTTACCTGGAAAATGTGAGTTTTCCTTCTTTATTGTCCTTTATTTTGCTTTGTGCTCTAACAAAGATTTTTATTAGATTTAAAGGCCATTTGGTGTTGGGGGTCCTCTTGCAGCTCTGTGGTTGCCCTCTTTGACTGATTTCCTCGATGTTTGTTATGTGTCAGAAGCAAAGATCTCTCTGTGTTTGCATTTGGGAGATAATCATGGTCTCAATAGTGTTGCAAATTTGCAGTACCTTTTGGGCCAAAATCTGAAGACAACCCGCAGGGTGCAGGTTGCACATTTTGCTTGTTGGGTAGAATGTCTTTGCTTAGCAGAGACCAGAGGCTCAGCATTCCACGATATTCACAGGTTGTCTGCAGTAGTGTCTGTAACATGCTGGAGTCAAAGGCTAAAATCAAGAAACATGGAAAGTAGGATAAAAGATAACTTTAGAGGTAGCCATTACTTGGGGTTTTTATTCATAGTTATTCTGAGTTCTTTTCTAATGACAATGTGGAAGAAGTAGGCTGATTTTATAGGGGTTACAGTGAAGAAAGGATTAAATTTGAGAATGAGAATTCATTGTGTAGAAGAAAACACTGCGAATTGAAGAGAGAGATGTGGGAGAAACAAACAAATAATATGCAGGCTGTGGCTTTGGCAGAGCAGGGAGAATATAGGGAGCCTGGCAGGAGACCCGTTCTGCAACATAGGCTGCATCTGGCTCGTGCGTGACTTGAAAGGAAAAGGATAAGGGAGTATCAAGGAGAGGTATTTTGTATTTCACAGCGGAATTAGATGTTGTTACTGACTTGGTTTTAGGTGGACTGTACAAGGAGGCCAGAGCCTGAAAGCTAAGAAAGGAAGCCATCTACAACATTCATGTTTGAATGAGGATGTTATTGCAGAGGATGATCTTGGTGGTGAAATGTCAGCCTTTGGAGGAAACAGGCATGGTTCTTATTTGGATGTGGGGAGGTATGGGGGAGAAGGAGTTTCCAGGGTAAAGGGGAGAATGGAGATAGTGTCTTTGGAAATCAAAAGAAGAGGAAATGGAATCGGTGATCTAAACCTGAAATATCAGAAGAGTATCCAGGAGAAACTGTTAAGAAAACAGCTGCTTATGTATACAGATAGAGTTTTGCAAATAATCCAGGTGGGGATAACATTTAGGAACAGTGCATAAAGTGTGCCAGTGAATTTGAAGAGTTGTGAATTTGGAAATGTGAAGTCCTTCACAAGTCCTCCACACCAACTAAAGATTCTGGGGCATTAAAAACCCCCACACTTTATATAACGAAAGAGCACTTCAGCAACAGAAATCCTGTAGGAAAGGATGGAGAACAAAATACGGATTTCTAGAAGTATTTTTCTCTCTTTCTGACTGTTCTATCCGTGTCCACCTGTCATTTTCTGGACTCTTGGCACTGTTGAAAATCCTGTTCCCTCTCAGCATGTACTATTGATGCTCCATTTCCATCAAACCTTTCTGTCACAGTCTTCTCTAGATTTGGAAAAATGTACTCATTTTCTTGTTCCTCCTCAGCCATACATCTGTCTCCCACATTCCTCTGAGCGATATTAGATTTTTAGTTTCCTGACCCGATGTACATAACTTCCTTCTGTCCTTTGTGTGTGTGTGAGAGCTTTATGAGACTACTCCTTTCTTATGTTGTATGAAGGTTGTTTTGACTGCATTAACTTGACAACTGTAGCCTTTTTGTCATTGTATTATAAAGAGATATTTGGAGTCACAAAGACATTTTTGGCAATATTTGTTCTGGAATCCATGCATCAGAGTTAATGGCCACATTTTCCACATGGTGCACGGGAGAGAAGGGCACTGAGAAATAACATAGCCATAAGCCAGTAGATAGCCTGTAAAAATGCCTACAGGTGGGCATGATTGTACCTCTCACAGACCTGAGCTCCTGAGTTAGGGATGAAGCACAGTGCCTTCCTCCACTCAGGGCTCACAGCAAGTCAGAGCTGCAACGTGTTTGATTAGGGTGAAAGGCAGTTAAAGAGGAAGGTTAGGTAGCGGGGGAGGGGGGTGGGGGGGCGGTGTATTCGAGTGTGTGTCTGTAGGAAGACTTATTACCAGGCTCTGCATGATGGTAAAACGAAGATGGACAGAGATGTGCCCAGCATGTAGTTTGCAGCAGTAGCTGCATTTATTACTGCCATTTACAAATCTGAACTGGTGCAACTATGAAAGGCATTTGGGTAGCAAGAGGTTTGCAGCTGAGTCTTAGCAATCTAGCCAGGATCTAGACAGGAAGGGCATCACATCATGCTTTTCTTACAATGATTTCCCAAGTACCTAATCCAGAAGTACAGGTGGTAGAGCCTCATGGGCTTTGCCCTGCAACCTCCTGTCTTTCTCCACTTACAGTGGATTTTAGCATGTTTGTACAGCCAATAGTTTTTGAAAGGAAGTTTCAGATGCAGCTCTCCAGTGTATTTTCTTATATGTAACCAAGTCTTAAATTCTAGTATAACCTGGTGCAACTGTACTAAAAACGCAGATTCTGTACTAAATGTGTAACTGTCACCTTTCCTGTGGCTTCCTCGTGTATTGGACTTAAACTGGATGTGTACTTTTCTTTTCTCTATTTGCATAACAGCAAAAACGGAAACTGAGACTTTACATCTCCAACACATTTAATCCTGCAAAATCTGACGCTGATGACTCTGATGGCAGCATTGCTTCATGGGAGCTGCGAGTGGAGGGGAAGCTCCTGGATGATGTATGACTTGCGCGTGCTTCGCTGGGGCTGGCAGAGATCTAGAGATAGTCCTGTGGGGTGGTGGACATTACTGGGGACATCAATTCAGACAAGGCATCTCTGAATGGTAGTGTTGACTTATTGTTGCTGGGAAGGCACCATGTCCAGCTGGAGTGAGGGATAAGGCCATAATAGGAATGTTGGGGAGGGGCAGGGACAGCAGCAGGCAATGGAGCAGAGTTAAGGACAGGACAGGTAGGAGGAGGTGGAGAGAGGGCTGAGGCAATTCCCTTAAAAGATACAGCAGGGTTCAGGTCACAAGAGGTGTGATAAGTCAGGCCTACAGCAGGCATTGCGTCTTGCGAAGAGTAGGATAACAAGGAGAAGCAGGTAGTTCATATTCCTGGGAGGACAAGAGGTATGGATGGTCAGAGCAAGGATGGAAGAAAAGTTTATCATTCTGAAGTCCTCAGAAACCTCAGTGGTGGATTTAGCTTTCCTCAGGGAAGGCTGGACTTCCCTAAAAAAGGCATCAACTATTTGAATAGACTTCACAAGCTAAGTATTTGATAGGATAAACAGATGGAGAACATACATGTATGGAGAGGGGAAGCTTTCAAGGCATATCTGTCTGTCTGGAGATAACTGTACGTGAATCAGAATCATGATCTTGCTGGGGCATGAAGGGGTGACAAAGTGCAACATCTGGAAATTGAAGTTAGACAAATTCAGTCTAGAAATTAGAGCATATATTTTAACAAAGAAAGATTATTGGAACAAAATAGCTTCTCGGTTACTGGCAAGTTTTAAATCGAAGGAGGATGTATTTCCGTAAGATTTTCTGTGTTAAATAAGAAGAAATGAATTGAAATCCTGTGGACTGTATTATATGGAAAGTCAGATTACGTGATTATAGACCTCACAGTTTTTAATTTAGACAGTATAAGCTGTGTAATAAGCAGCAAATACTGATAATGAAATGGAAAGGCAAAAATGTAAAAGGAAATACTTAGTGTATGATTAATCTGTAAAATATACTGTCATCTGATAAATCAGACCAAGAAATTAGCATTCATCAAAAAACCCAAGCTGATAAAATAAAAGGTATACAGTGGCCTTAGAATCATAGAATGGTTTGGGTTGGAAAGGACCTTCAAAGATCATATAGTCAACGCCCCCACTGTGAGCATGGGCATCTTTCACTAGATCAGGTTGCTCAAAGCCCCATCCAACCTGCCCTTGAACAATTCCAGGGGTGGGGCATCCACAGCTTCTGTGAACAACCTGCTCCAGTGCCTCACCACCCTTATCGTACAACATTTCTTCCTTGTGTCCAATCTAAACCTATCCTCTTTCAGTTTAAAACCCTTGCCCCTTGTCCTGTCACTACAGGTTTTGGTCAAAAGTCTCTCTCCATCTTTATCAGCTCTCCTTAAGTATGGGAAGGCCGCAATCGGGTCTCCCCGGAGCCTTCTCTTCTCCAGGCTGAACAACCCCAACTCTTGGCCTGTTCTCAAAGGAGGGGTTTTCCTTGGATCAGTTTCGTGGCCTCCTCTGGACCCGCTGTCACAGGTGCCATGTCCACATCATGAGCTAGTCCTTTCCAATAATAGTAAGAGAGTCATGGAAATCTTCCCTTAAGGGTGCGCTGTTCCACCACTGTTGAGATTTTTTCATCTTACCCTGCATTTGTCAAAAGGGAAACTCAAGGACATTGATCACACTTGTGGTTTATACAGGAATTAATGTTCAAGAGAAAGAGAAAGCCTGAGAAGGAAGCATAGAACATAAGCTAATATATGTTTCGGTTTCTTCTGATTGTACAGCTCAGCAAACAGAAACGGAAGTTTTCATCTTTTTTTAAGAGTTTGGTTATTGAACTGGACAAAGATCTTTATGGACCTGACAACCATCTTGTAGAGGTAAGAAGATAGTGCACCCATTGCATATAAGCCTGATAGTAGCACAGATAAACCGCTGTGTGCCCGTTATCTACTTTGTTTAAGTTACCTTGCATTCATTATCTCATTTAAGGTATTTTCAAAGGTTTCAAAATTCCATTCTTTTTAAGAATGTTTACTAAAAGAATCTGTATAGTCTAAAAACATAAATGTAGTACTGATGTAGTGTGCATCTTAGAACAGAATTTTTGAAATGATGAAAAAGTTGTGCATGTTTTTCCTAACAGGTAAAGCATGCTAACAGCAGAGCAGATTGTGCACTAAAGCTGAATTGCAAGGTCAAAGCAAGAAATTATTTGGGGGGTTTTGTTGTGGTGGTGTGTGGGGCTTTTTTTTGGTTTTTTTGTTTGTTTGTTTGTTTTTTTTGAAATTGCAAGATCTTCAGAAGGCTTGCACTTGTCTTACTCTTGCATGGGGTACTGTGCAAGATGCACCTCGATGGACATCGGTGGAAAGAAAAGACTGACAATCTTACTTGTTTTTTCCTTTGGCAGTGGCACAGAACTCCCACAACCCAGGAGACGGATGGCTTCCAGGTGAAAAGACCCGGTGATGTTAGTGTGCGGTGCACGTTACTCCTCATGTTGGACTACCAGGTCAGTGCACTGCTTTTGGCATGGAAAATGCAGCCTTGGGACATAGTGCAGCAAAGCAAATTCATCCTGTCACATACATCAAAAAACAATATGCTTGGACTCAGAATGTCACATAGTTCATTGAGGTGAGAATGATACCAAACTGACAGATTATTTAAAATGTAAAGGGGACACATCAAATAAGTTTCTATTATAGTCTTGCGAAATATTGTTCTTGGCACTACGATAATTAGTATTTTTATTGCCTACCTGCAGAAAGAATATGTATTTCCACCTCAGGCTTCTTAGAGAACCGTCAGATAGGTTGCACGTGAGTTATGTGTGTAGTCCTGTACAGAAATTCAAAGGAGTGGCTTTTGCTATGGTACCTGAACTAGGTGTGTAGCTATGGCAGCCTTTTTCTGAGAGCAGGCTACACGGCTTTCCTGGTTTGTTAAGTTTTTATCACATTGTCACCCTAATCCGGCATAAGACAACATGGCCCTGCAAGGGTTAGACTTGCCATTATTCTTAGGCCTCGT